GGGGGCTGGGGTCACCACGCCCAGGGGAGGGACCTGTGTCTGGAGGTGTCACAGGTGTGCCCAGCGCCGAGAATGTGATGGATGAACTTGCTCCGGGGACTCACCCACTTGCACCACCCTCCCTTTGGATGTGGGGATGAACTTGGGTTTCTCGTAGGCAGCACCATACAGATGGGTCCTGTGGGCAGGGCAGGATGCAGGGTAGGGTCAAAGTCCAGCTCGTGGGGTCCCAGAGCAGCCCCAAAGATGCAGTCCTGTGAGCCACATACCCCCCAACAGGAGCCCCCTCCCCACCAGCGCCTTGGCTGAGTCAAGACACAGAATTCACAGCCATGTGGGCACAGCTGTGAACCCTAAACCACCCGTGGCCTCCGCTGGAGGCTGAGCAAAGCCCCTGCTCTCCAGACAAGGGAACCTGCTCTGCCTCATGTGAATGTTGACCTTCAGACCAGACGCACAGGCCCGCAGCAGACAGGAGGCGGTGCCGTGGCCGCCCCGCCCTGCTGTGGGTGGAGAGCAGGCACCAGAACAGGGACAGGCCTTACCTGTCGGGAGAATGGTGCAGAAAGAGGATCCGAAAAGTGGCAGGAACCTCATTCAGGAGGTTAAAATGTTGTTCGGTGACCGAGAGATTCTGCCAAGCCTGTGTGACAACCAGATCAGCGAGCCCACGTGCTGGCCGAGGCACCCTCTCTGCTCAGGAGATGCACCGGCTGGTCTGGGCAGGGTGGTGGGCAGGGTTCCGCCTGGGCCGGGGCTGCAGAGCTCGTGACCGCCACAAGGGGGCAGCAGGTGCACGTGGAATTCCCCTGCCCTCCGCTAGTATCAGAAGCCTGATTTGCATGACCCAAAGCGCCTATGCACCCAAACCAAAATACTGCTTCCCTCAGCCCTCCTCCCGTCTCCACACCACACACAGGCCTACGTGCACACGTGCACAGACAAGGGCACAGATGCACACAGCTTCATGTGCACACACCACCCTGTCTCCTCTCCCTGCAGCCTGCTGGCGGCAGTGGTCAGCCCTGTGTCCCTTCTCCCGCTGTGGTCCGTGCACTGACAGGTCTGACGAATGCCAGAGGGTTCCAGCTGCCCGCTCTCCTGCACACCACCCCATCCCCAGTGAGCTGGCCACTCAGAAACATGGCTCCTTCTTTCTGATGAAATGAGCTTCGAATTTGCAAAGGGTGGCCAGGGTTAGAGGGCATCCCCAGCTTGGTCACCTTGGAAATGGCAGCCAGCTTCTGCTCCACATTAGTGAACAGGCTGGTAGAGGTCCGCTCCTGGCACCTCAGACTGTCATCGAGCTGCAGCAGGGCTGCCAGCTGAGAGCTGCTGGTGTTGGCCGTGGCCGTGAGCAGAATTCCCCGCATCATCTCTGAGACTGAGCAGCTCTGGAACAGACCACAGAAGGTGTGAAGGCCAGGCCCGTCGAGGCTCATGGGCCCACAGGACATGGGTCAGAGGGGCCTGGGTTCAGGGGAACCTCAGATGATGCCCTCCCACACACACACTTCTTCTAGTGACTTGAGGCCGCTCCTCTAAATGAGCACCATCCTTCACACAGGCCCCAGTATCAGCCCAGCTGGTGGGGCCCCCAACAGAAGGGAGGCACAGGGTGCTGGGGACCTCCCTCCCTTCCCAAGGCAGCCCAGAGGGTGCACAGAGCAGAGCTGCACCTGGGACAGCGCCAGGAACTGACAGGCGGCTGTGGGGTCCAGAGTGCCAATGCACTCTACCATCTCCAAGCTGGCAGCCGCAGCGACATCCAGGAGGCTGTTGCCCAGGGCGACCTGCAGGCACTGCAGCAACACCTCAGACGCCTGGGCCAGGTACTGCTGGGCCAACACCTTCCTCCTCTGCGGGCACAAGCTCAGGCTCAGTCTGGCTCCATGGGAGGAGCGGGCCCAGGCAGGCAGGTGGGAGTAGCAGTACCTTCAGATCTGAGCCTTTTTTGCTGCGCTCCTCAGGGGCCGCCCTGCTGGCTGGCTGGTTGCTGCCATGCTCTTCACTGTCCCCATCCTCTGGGTTTATCTCCAGACCCTTGAGGTTGTACAGCTCTGCTCCTGCCTAGGGGACATGCCACCAGTCAGTGGGCATTTGCTGGGACACCGCCCAGCCCCAGGAGTGCCTATCTGTCAGACATCTCTGCAGGATCCCCAGGCGAGGGCGCAACTGGCAGGTGCAGCCGGATGGGGAACAGCTCTGGAGGCGCGGCCCGGGCAGCACATGTCTTGATTGGTCACATGCTGTGCTCCCTTTCCTTCAGCCCTGAAAATCCAGGCTCCCTGGGCCCCAGCGCCCAGCAGGTCTGTGCAGCTGGGACCGACTGAGTCAAGTGCCCACCTGCCCCATGGCCCAGGGGATCACGGGACTTGTGCCAGCCTGTCTACAGGACAAGCCATCCTGACAGGATGCTCTGGGATGCAGTGGGCCCAGGAGGACTTGGGTTGAGGGAGGAGCTCTGGGTTTGTGGGGTCACAGCAGGGAGGGGCAGGAGGAAACCAGGCTGGGAAGGAGCTGTCTGGGTGGGTGGATTTCTTGAAAGCTCCTGCCTGGCCACTTGGGATTTAGTGCATGTCTCCCTGACAGTCCCTCCTGGGGGTATTGTTAGTGCCACTTTGTGGACAAGGCCCCAACCAGACAGAAGGGGCATTCGTCTACCTCTACCTGACCCAGGCCGCCTGTGCAGGTGCTCAACAAATACTGGTTGAACAAGGGGCTACACTCCACCAATTCACCCAAATGTGAGTCCTGACCTAGGTCCTGGGGACCCAGGATAGAGAGCCCACTGGGGCTGACCTCAGGGCCTGCGCACTGGCCGGACAGGGATGGGGGCACCAGCCCCAAATCACACTGGGATACAGAGTCATCTGCTTGGGGCGAGGGTCCTTCCTAAAGGCGCAGGGTGAGGAGGAGGAGCCTGGCTGCACTGTGGGGCACGTGCTTTCCAGGTGAGGACGCGGCACTGGCAGAGGCATTTATGACGGTGACCGGCAGTGGCAGCGGCTGTCACCAGAGCTCCTTCCGATGAATAGGGAGCTCCCACGGGGGCACCCTGGGGACGCTGGGCAGCCTCCCAGGGGCTAGAGAGAAGGGTGAGGACTTGCATGCACTACATGGCCATGGGCGGGGGCTCAGCGCTCACTTCAGCTTCGCTGCACCGTGTGGGGTACAGTGCCCCCCTGCATGTTGGCACCTGTGCGCAGGCAGCCCCGGGCTCCTGGGCAGGGAGCTGCTGAGGTGGAGGGGGCACCAGGAGCCGAGACCACATTTGGCGCTGGGACCCCCACGTGCGCCCCCCTCTCCCACCTCCTCTTTGACTGTGGATGGAGACAGCTCTCCATCCAGTCTGTCCTCAGAGACCTGCCTTTCTCTCCTGCCCCAGGGGTCCTGCTGGCAAGACTGCTTCTTGCTTTTTCTCCCCTCCAGCCACAGCACCCTTCTTATCTGAGGACAATCTGAGGCCTATTTCATACCCCAGTTCTGAGACCAGGTGAGTTTAAAATGCTTTGTTTTTGTTGTTTAAGCACTTGGTGCTGAGCTAGAAGCAGGAGAACGTACCAGGAGGCTCTCCTCCCAGTAGAAGGCGGGGCGCACAGGGTCTGCCTGCACCGCCAGCAGGTGCAAGGCCTTCCCCACCAGGCCCAGGAGCCGCGCGCGGATTTCCACACAGCTGGTGCTCAGCGGCTGCAGGCTCCCCAGCTGCGCCAGGGCAATGTGGGCCAGGGTCCGCTTCAGCGTGAACCATTTCTTCAACACAAACCGTTTTAGTTACTCCTGCCTCCCATCCCAGAAAAGGCAATAGGCCCACCCTCTAATGCCCCCAGGGCCACCACCTAATGCCCCTGGGACTGGGGACATTAGAGCAGTCTGAGAAACACCCCTCCATGTTGGGGATGGTCTCCAGGGCTTAGGTTATGGGAAAGTCACTAAAGTTTGTTTATATAACCTCAATTTAGGGCTCAATGACATGCATGAGCTTGTATAAAGTTAAATTTTAAAACTATCTTTGATCCATTTATAGTTATAGCAAATTAATTTCACTCATAATGCATGAAATCTAAAAAATGTCTAAAATAGCAGAATATTTCCTTCAAAACAAATATTTTGCAGATTAAACTTTTTTTTTAACAAAATATAATTCATCTTAGGGACTTTTTCATATCCTGACATAATTGTCAGAGCAAACTCAGAACTTGGGAGGAAATTCATGTGCTCTGGAAACATCTCCAGCGTGCTCCAGTTTCATTAGCCAATTAGGTCCCCTCAGATGATCAGATGAGGCCCTTCCTCAGCAAGGCTGGAGACCCCCCAAGCTATAGGGGGCAGTGGGGAGCAGCAGGGGGCAGTGTGGGCTACGAGGGCTGAGATCTCAGAGGGGTGCGCTGTGAGCTCTGGCCTTCAGATTCCCACTGGTTAGCCCTCTGCTCACAGCGACAGAGCCCCCATTTACAGCGGGACAACCCATGTGGATCCGAGAACCCCCAGGCTGACCCCGAGGATCGGGGCCCAGTCAGTGTCCGGGTCAGTTACCAGGCCGGTGGCGGTGAAGTCGCTCATGCTCTGCAGGTAGTCGGCCAGCAGCTTGCCCATGGAGTCCTGCCTGAGCTCCCGCTCCTGAGGCTCCTCCCAGCTGAGCTGCAGCATGTCCAGGGACACCTCCACCAGGCTCAGCTTGAGGCGCGCCAGCTTCCGCATCAGAGGCGTGTTGACGTTCTGTAACTGACATGTTTGGGGACGAAGTCAGAGCACTGGACACTTCTGGCCAGCTCAGTATCTCCGACTGGATCGGCTTTGATGAGGCATCACTGACATGCTGCACCCACAAAGCATCACAACGCAAAACATGGGCGTGCTCCTCACGCCCCACACCCCTCAGGTCTGTTGTCCCTGCCTCTCACCGCCATGCTCTTCCTGGACACCCAGCTGCGTCCCCTCGACTCGGGCAGTCGTCAGCCTCACCCGGGTCCCCCCTCCGGCGGTGGCCACGGGACCACGGACAGTGCAGGGCGACCTCTGCTAAGGGGCGACGATGGCATGGCCCGGGTCCAGGACACGCACTTACATCTTGAAGGGACAGGAGGCCCTGGGTGCTGTGGAACAGCTCCTCCTCCTCGGCCACGGCTCGCTGGGCCAGGCTGTAGGCCTCCAGGTGGTACACAGTCCTCTGCTCTTCGTCCCTCTCACTTTGAGCACATAACCTTCCCGAGACGAAGGGCGGGTGTCCGAGGGGCAGGTTGCCAGCAGGGACACCGTGCAGTGTGTGCTTTCTGCAGCATCGTACTGTGCATTTTATTAGCACTTAAAACGCTATGAGTTGGTGTTTTACATGCACAGACACCGTCACTGTATCTGAACACGACACTAAGTGCGCTCACATCCTGCCTCGTGGACACCAGCTGTGTGTGAACAAGCGTGCGTGGGCAGGGGTAGCACGTGCACATGTCTGTGACACGTGTCTACACGTGTGAGATGTGGCTGATGTGTGCGTGTGCGTGCCAGCATGTGGACACTGGGTGGTGGCTGATCCCTGCGGCGTGGGGTGGTGGGAAGTGTGTGTCGGGGGTGGGGGTGATGGGGGCTGTGAGGCGTGTTTGCAGAGACCGAGCAGGTGGGAAGGACAGAGGTGGAAGGACAGGAGCGAGGACACCCGTGATGAGCTATACTTGAGGGGCACCCCAAGTGGCTGCAGACTCCCAGGGCAGGTGCCCCAGGGGAGATGGAGGAGGCCCTATGGGGCCAATGGGGGCCGATGACAATGTGACAAGGAGGAAAGCTGGCCACATGGGGAGCAGCAGTGCGCAGGGGGCTTCGAGGATGGGAGGGGGGCCTGTGTGCAGGACTCGGCAGGGCCAGTGGCTGTCGGGGTCCAGCATGGGCCTTCAGGAGCCTCAGGAGGGACAGCCCCCGGCGTGGGTGGGACCTGCGGCAAGGCTCTCACCTCTTTACCCTCGCCCGCTCCAGCTTTATGTCCACACATTTCTCTTTGTAGCCACATTTGACAAACTTTTTCTCAATTTCCAGCAAGCAATTATCCAGCTCGCTCAGCAAAAATGGGAATGCAGAAGGCTCACTGTCCACTGACTCCTGGGTGATTTGAATCCGGAGCTTCAGACACCTGTGAGGGACAGAGGGACACTCCACTTTCGGTTCTGCTAAGCACGTGGCCCAACATGACACCACCCGATGTCACACCACCCAATGTGACATGGCCAACAGCTCTAGGGTGACAGCTGTCCACGTGGAACCACAAGGGCCTCCACCCCTCACCCACAATGCTGAAAGGAGCAGCTTCAGGAGTCTTCGCAAAAACCACAACTCAAACGGCCACATTCTTCAGACACGACACAGTGAAGCGAGAGAGGGACAGCCCCACCCCAGGCGTCCATTTGGAAACTGAAAACCACTCTCCCAAATGACCGCAGGACAGAGAAGGGCCCATGGCAACGGCCCTGGCTCCTGTGTGGGACCTGCGGGCTGCCCGGGAGTCCAGAGGTGCTTTTGCTAGGACAGGAGGCAGGAGGCGCGTGGCCTAGGTGACGGACTCAGGAGGTGGGAACAAAGAGTGCCAACAGCCCCTCGCCAACACAGAAAGGGGAACTTGACAAAGCAGCAGCAGAAAATAGAGAAACCCAAGATGACCCAAAGCCGCCTATAACACAAACGCGGCTTCTTTGAAACAGTCGGATAAACGGGATTCTGAGATTCTGCCGTCAAGGAGGAGAGGGCAGTGAGGGGACAGGCCCCAGGTGCAGCCGTGGTAGAAGCTGCAAGAAAGAGGCTGTGAGCAGCTCACTGGCACAGCCCACACCTGGGGGGAACAGTTTTCTAGAAGACACATCACCAGGGAAATGGCTCGAAAATAAGCTGAGAGTCTGGAAGACTAACAGTCATGGAAGAACTAGCGCTGCTATTAAAAGTTCTGTCCCCAGCACATGGGCCACTGGCCCAGACGGGTGGAGAAACCCCGGTGTGTCCCCTGTGGACGGACACGGGGCTCTGAAAACCAGCCGGAGCGGAGCAGGGGAAGGCGGCTGCACACCGGACCCGCTCAGCCCTGCAGGGCACCGAGGGGCACCCCACCCAGTGGCCAGCACCCGGCCTGGCGGCGCCTGTCCCTCAGCCCAGGAGGGGCCACAGGAAGCCCACGCTGTGCTTGTCGGGAAGTGAAGGCTGTTCCCTGAGAATTTAGCAGCATAACAGGGCCGCCTGAATCTCTGCAAAGAAAAGCAGAGCACGCTGCCCGAGGTGAGGCTCTTCTGACTGCCCGAAGCCACGGTCCCCAGTGGCCGCGACAGACACTGTTTCTCAGAGCAGGTCTGAGGCACGCTCAGGACACTCGAGAGGCTGTGACTACACGGCCCCCGCGTTGTGATCCTCTCAACTCCGCACGGCAGTTAAGTGTTTCTCACGGGAGTCACCTGGCTTCCAGGTCCGTGGTCATGAATTCCAAGATGGGCGCGCGGTTGGGTCTTTCTTTCTTGAGCACCCTGAAGACCTCGATGAGCTTCTGAAAGAGCTGGCAGACCTGGGGGCCGCACCGCGCGGCCGTCAGCGGGGCCCCAGCCCCCTCCCGGCAGCACGCGGGCCGGCCGCTCCTCACCATCACTTCCTTCCCCTCCTTGCCCGTGGACAAGAGCGCGTCGGCCAGCGTGAGCGTGGACCGGTACCAGAAGTCCTCGCCGCCGCCCCGGCGCTGCGCCGCCTCCACCATCCTCCGCCCGTGGCTGTAGTTCCTCTCCTTGTTGGCCAGCTGTGCGAGGAGGTGCAGGCACTGGGATTCCGCGCAAGGGTCTTTCACCTCCTAGAAAAGACAGGACATGCGGAGACGGGATGGGGAGTGAGCGTGACAGAGACAGAGACAGAGAAACAAGAGACAGAGAGACAGGCACAGGCACAGACAGGCACAGAGAGAGACAGGGAGGGACAGAGGCGGAGAGGGGACAGTGCAGCAGCTCCAGGCCTGCATCCGTGTGCTGGGCTCCTCTCCGACCTGAAGGCATCTCTACGTTTGCCCCGGGCACAGGGTGGCCTTGAGGCCGTGCGTGTGCTAAAACTCACTCGCAGGATTCCGGACAGCGGTCAGGGCCCTGGGAAGGCCCTCCCTGTAGCAGGGGCTCCAGTGCACTCCCACCATCTAGGGACACAGTTTAAGGGCTCCCCTGAGGCCTCGGCCCCCAGGCCAGGAGTCTCTGTCCTAATGCTGGTCCAGGGCTGCCTCTGTCTTCCATTCACTGCACACGGCCAGAGGGGTCTGGGGGTGGGAAGGTGGGGTGGGAGCCTTGCTGGCCTCTGGACTGACCCCAGGCTTTGAGGGTGGCTGGGCCTAGAGAGAGCGGCCAGCACACAGCTCAAAGCTGATGACGCAGGAAGGCCCAGGGGGCTCAAACCTCTCATTCCAGGAGCCAGGGCCCCCGAGGGACCAGCGCAGGCAGGCTTGGGTGCAGTTACAGTGGGACAGCGGCCGGAGTGGAGAGAGCAGAAGTGGGCACAGAGAGGAGGTGGGCAGGGAAGCTGGGCACCTGCACGGAGGGAAAGCAGGGACAGCACCGGACACTGGTGGGTGCAGCCGGAGGGACAGGTGGCAGCTGGGTGCTGTGAGGGCCCAGCGTGGGAGCAGGCGCAGCCACTCGCCCAGAGTACACAGAGACAGGGCTCATTCCAACAGACACCCAGGGAAGACGTCCCCAGCCGAGCGGTCATCTGGGTCTGAGTGCTGAGCCTCAGGGAGGAGCCAGAGGAGGGCAGCGCCCCAGACTCTCAGACGTGGGGTGTCTGGCTAAGGGGGTGGGCGAGGGGAAGACGCTGAGACAGAACAGCCGAGAGACACCTGTCCCCAATGCCTGAGACCTACACACACCTGTTCCCAATGACTGAGACCTGCACACACCTGTTCCCAATGCCTGAGACCTACACACACCTGTTCCCAATGCCTGAGACCTGCACACACCTGTCCCCACTACCTGAGACCTGTACACACCTGTCCCCAGTGCCTGAAACTGAGATCTGAACTTCCCAAGGCTTTGAAGGTGCCACTGAGTTTTTACATCTATATTAAGGACTTTTCTCCCTCTGGAGTTCTTCGAAACAAGTGGCCCTCCCAGGGAACACAGTTTTGAATGCTGGACAGAGACAGACGACCTCTCTGCAGCATGGAGAGCAGCTGATGCTGGCAGGAGGGACGCACTCCTGGGCCTCCACTCCATCCTGGCTTTCCCCAGGGCACCCATCCTTGTGGGAGACACAGCCCAGGAGGAAAGCTACGGCTCAGCTGAAGAGTGAGACCCCAGAGAGGCGACAGACACCTGCAAGGCTGACCTTCAAAGAGAGAAAAAATTCATGGCAGGGGAAAAGGGGCTGGCGCACCATCTGCCTCTGGAGGAAGGAGCCCGGGGTCTCTCCAGGTCCTCACCCCCTGCCCACCATACACCACTGAGAGGCCTGCGAAGAAACAGAAAGGGACCCTGCAATTCAGGAACAAGCCCACAGCAGCTGTGGGAACAGGCACTGTATGTAGCAAACGGGTCAGTGAGCACAGGACAACAGAGGAAAAGCAGACAAAGGACAGGAAAGGCTTTTTCCTCAGAGAACTGGTTCCTAAAAGAGAATCACACACGTGTTGCAGACCAGGGAGATTCCAAACTCGCTTCAGTACAGACAGGCGCCGTCTCCAGCTGGGCGTGGGGGGCAGGGGGGGCAGGTATGGCCCCTACCTGGAAGGCCTGGCAGGCCTCGGACAGGAGCAGCCTCGCGGGCTGGTACAGGTCCATCTCGAGTAGAACTTCTGCTTTGAGGGTCCACAGCAGGGGAAAGGACGTGCCGTCCAGGCCTCTCCCGGTCTCTCCGTTTATCTTCAAAATCTGTAACACACCGAGGCCGGCTCTGCCTCATGTCCATGTCTATGCCTGATGCCCGTAGCCCAGCTTTCCTTCTGGGCACATGTCTCTTCTCACCCAACCAAGCCACCACCAGTTGCGCCAGAGCTGGTTCCTGGGCGGCACCTCCTCCCTCCCCTGCTCCATGCTCTGTGCCCCCTCTCCTGGACCAGGCAGCACCCTGACCCATGTAGGACAAGTCTCTAAGCTCTAACAATTCAACAAGACCATGAGGGACCATGTCATCCCCGTGCAGGTCACACACTGAGCCTGTCCCAAGCAGGAGCCTGCACACCCCACAGCCTGGCTGGCATCCAAAGTGCTGACTGTGGGGCTCACCATGAAGTCCTGAAAATGGCTCTCCCATGGGGATAAGCGATCTCTGACTCCAGATAAAAGCAGCTGGGGTGGGCAAGCCCACAGAGGGGAGGGGAACGCGGGACAGTGGTCAGACCCACAGGCATACTCTCTGGCTGTGAGGGCCTCGAGCTTCCCAGTAATGTGGTCTGCACCCCTCGGTGCCACCCAGCCCGTCTTCTCTGAATCGCTGCTTGGGCCCCTGGTGGGCCCTTTCTAGGGTGGTCTGTAGTCTCATCTTCCCCAGGGACTTCCAGGGCCCATGGACGGGACACAAGCAACCCATCCCTGGAGTTCCCAGGACACTGCAGAAGGCTTTGGGGGCAGCCCAGTGGCAGCCCTGCCACCACCCCCCTGAGCAGGGAAGCAGCAGCTCTGGCAGAGCCCGGCTACCTGGTCCTTCGCCACGAGGGGCCTCGTCTCCGCTGGCGGCCTGGCAGGCGTGGGCTCACTCAGGACCTGCATGCTTTCTTCCAACAATGGTTCTCTGTTCTTCTCCTTTTTCAAGGCAATTTCTTTTCTGAAGCTAATGTAAGTAAAACAAGCAACATGCTGAAGAAGAAACGCAATGGCCAAGGGATACCTGGAAGTGTTTGATGTCACCAGCAACGAGCTACTAATTAAAATGTCTACAAAAGGCCGCTACTTACTTGTGTGTTTACAAAGATTTTAAAAGTCCCCACAATTTAGCAGCACATGGGACTCCTAAATTCATGCTTCTTGCCCACTCTCCCCCAACTCCAGACTCACGCAGCCGGCTGTGAATCTGCCCTCCCGCCCTGGACGCCCAGGCAGGGCTCCACCCACCGAGAAAGGCCGCCGCTCCCTGCGGGGTCGGCCTCCCGCGGGTCTCAGCAAGCCTGCCTCCCTCGCCTTTGCCTTTGCCACTCCGCCTGGACCCCTGAGAGTTCTCAGTCCTCTGTCTCCCCTCCCCTCGCACGGTACTAACCTGGGAGATGCCCGCACATAGGAGGGTAAGTAATAAACTGCACCCCCAGCACAGCTTCCCTATACCCTGACTCTCTGAGCACTGTACCCCTGGGTCCCCCCAACACCCACTGTCCGGCCATACTGAGCAATGGGGGCCTGGAGCTCGGCGGGGACACAGCCGAGAGCAGGGCCACACTGGTCACGTCGCTCCTTCTTCCCGAAGAGCCCTCACCGCTGCACACACCTTGCCTGCTCCATGTCGCCAATGTAGGCCTGTCCCACCACGTCCTCGTGGGCAGCAGCTGCTTCTCTCAGCCTCAGATCGGAGCAGACCAGGGCGAGTCTGGGGAGGGGACCGGGCACTCGATAAAGATTGGTGAACAAAGACAGAAATGTGTAACTGGGTAATATTTTCAGTAATTTGTCATGCTAAGCAAAATTGTTAGGGAAAAATAAGAGGTGGTGCTATCGAATTTCAGGTAGAAAAAAGCTGACACATTTGTTCTTATCTTTGACTCAACACAGGTTCATAGTCTTATGGTCACCTTCCGAGGTCTAAGCAAGGCACACGGGGCGGCGCCCTGATCGTCCATCAGGGCCATGCTCTGCTTGAGTTCTTATGAAAAGCAATTTAAAACTTTTTATTGAAGTACAGATGACATGCAATATTACATCAGTTTCATGGTGATTCGACAGTGACCCACCTTATGATGTGATCACCTCACTAAGTCACACGACCAACCATATGTCACTGTGCAAAGTTGCCATTTCTTTGGAAAGGATTTGAAGCCTACAGAAAGGTCACACAAACCCTACAGAGATTTCCCTGAAAAGAACACAGGTATACTGACCGAAGGTGGTAGAGATCTTTGAGGCTCTTGCTGTCCACCACGCAAGCGGAAATTAGGACACCCAACTGCAGGACAGGGATTGTGAGCTCATAGAGGGACATCTTCTTCAGGGCCTTGACCAACTGGTCCAGATAATATAAAGTATATGTCTGCACAAATATACAACAAACATGTAAGGCCAAGGGGGAGGAAGGTTGGCCCACTAGTTCAGAGGGTCTTTCTTCAGAGAACTCTGTCCCTCACAGTGCAAGCACAGTGCCTGGCACCCAGCAGGTGTCCCACAAGTGTCTGTTAAATGAATGAATGAGTGAATGAATGAATGACATGCTCTCTTCCTTCCCGCCTTCATTCATAGCTTTCATTTTGTCATGGACAATTGCCTATAATCTCCAGCACTCAAGTATAGTTAAAGATTCTCACAAAAAACAATCCATTTATGAATTTATTCAAATGAATATTTTCGTTTCATTTTTCCATGAAAAACTACCAATCCATTAAAAGTAGAATTTCTTTATGTACACACACAGCGAATACTTCTTATAACGTTGCACTAGGTTTGATAAAAATAATTATTCTTCAGTGGAAAATTAGAAAAGTTGGATACACTATGCAAAATCTACTTAACCGCATGGAAGAATGAACAACGCTGAGAAAACATGTCGGGGTACATTTGTCATGGGCCAGCTCTGCACTAAACCCGAGGCTCCAGGTGATTACAACCAGAACTGACAGGATTTCGGGGGAATCTGAGCAGCCGCGTCTGAAGCCTGCCTGGGGACGCACAGCAAAGGAAAGGACCACACGACCTCCTGCAGAACGGGAGGGGGCGCACTCTCTACCCGCAAGCAGAGTTTGAGCTCAGTATCCAGACACTGAGACAGTGTCACAGGTAGTCACCCGCTTTGTGACAAATGTGNATGTTTTGGCGCCTACGGTTCAGGAGCTGGCCGCCCTCGAAAAGGAGGCGCAGACGTCGTTTCTGCACCTTGGCTATCTTCCTAACCAGCTGTTCCGAACCTTCTGATTTAACACAGGCCGACTGCGATCTGAGTAATGAGCCGTGGTCTTAGAACTCTAAGCGGGTGCTGCTTCCAGGCAGCATGTTTACAGTAACAAGCTGTGAGCGCAGACTTGCACGTAAGAACCGTGGAACAGTAGGCCTAGGAATTCTTCACAAATTGGCAGCCTAATGCAAGTAATAAATTTGATGACCCTATTTTTCATGAAGCTTGTGTCTTATTTTAACATATTTGATAGTGTTTCTTCAAGAATGCTGTGGGTTTAGGAAGTACAGGTCACAGGTATGTGAATTTGGCAGGGGACATACGTGGAGCCACCAGTGAATACCCGAGGAGGAGTTTATTACGGGCAGTGGTCCCGATGGAGACAAGCTCAGGAGGGTTACGGTTGCCTACGTGTCCTGAGGCTGGAGGGGAGGCATGAGGTGGAAGGACAACCTGGCTGGTTTGAAGCTGAGTATGTTCTAGAAGCTGGAAAAGGTTCTGTGTGTGCGGACTGATGACTGACTGTGTGCAGGCGACAGTGAAGGTGTGTCCTTAATGTCTACCCTGTTTAAGACCCATTCTTTCTAGGTGATACATACGCACAAAGATAAAACTATTCTACTGTCTCTCTGGGTCTTAAACACAGTTCTTTGGAATATATTTTCTCAGGCCCTCTTGCCTAAAACACCAGAAGGAAAAATAGAAATATCATTGAATTGTTCTTTGATGCCCTTTGACTCTTAGTTTATAAAGTAGTTTCTTGGGGGGGAAAATTTTTTTTTTTTTTTTTTTTTTTTTTTTTTAAACAGGACACTGAAAACACTAGTCACAAAGGAAAAAGATTAAGAATTATTATTAAATGAAAACTAGGAAGCCCCGGCAGTCAAGACACAGAGTGAATGGCGATCTGCTATTCATAAATTGTCCGTGTGTTTTTTCCAGACTGCAGAAACCATCCTTCCCATCAACAAGGAAAAGGCAGAAAGCTTACAAAAAGTGGGCAATGGACTGGACAGGAGATCACACAAGAGGACACCCAGCAGCCACAGGCACTGAGAGGTGCCTGACCTCGCTGGAGCCACCTGAGGCACCACCACACGTCCGCCAAAGGGCCACCGTTGAGAAGGGAAACCACAGGCGTCTGGTGAGGATGTGGCAGCGGGAGCTCTTGCCCACTGAGGGGCCCTGACACAGCCACCGTGGAAGGCAATTCGGCCATGCACCCTGTAGCTGGCGGCGCACAAACTCTGCCACCCACACCCCCGCCAGTGGGTGTGTCCTCCAGACGCATGGGCACGAACTCTTGCAGCCACCCCATCGATGGGAGCCACCCCCTGGAAACCACCCAAATGTCCGTCAGCAGTGGGACGGACACGTGGAGTGTGGCCCAGGCGCACAGTGGAATACTCCGCAGCAGTGAAGGCGAGCAAACTAACCAAGCCACGGGGGGCCCGAGGACGCCACCTCACAACACCCAGGATCACACGCTGAATGACTCCACTTTTCAGAGCACAAGACACAGGCAGAATCATCTGGGCTGAACAAGGCCCCCAAAGTCACCAGGTGCTGCCCCGGCACCTGTGCATGGGACCTCACATGGCAAAAGGGCTGTGCGGGTCTGATTAGACCCGGACCCCAGGGTGGGAGGTCAGCCGGGATGTAGTTGTGCGGGTCCTCAGAGGTGGGAGGCAGAGACGTGGCACCTCATCCAGACAAACCCCGTCAGGTGCTTTTCTCCTGGGACACATTTCGCACCAGAAACCACTGGCCGAGCTGCAAGTCAGGAGCTACAACGGCGAGGCGGGGATGCAGCTGGCAGCGTGTCACCCAGGCTGGGACAACTCCTGTTAACTCACCGGCCTCTGGATACTGGATGTGTTAACAGTAAAGTCGCTCTTGTCCTGTTTGAACGTGGCTGTCACCTCTTCCGAGCAGAAATAGGAAGCCCACGCCTCCACGCTTGCTGGGACATCTTCTGGCTCTTTACTGGGAGCCGGGGTCTGACCCTGTGAAGCAGGAACGCAGGGTTTGCTTCATAAAGTGGAGCTGAAAGGTCCAGGTGGAAGCTGGTGCAGAGGCGGGAGCCGCGAGGCGAGCCCCTGCGCTCTCCCTAAGATCCCGGCCCTGAGCAAGCCACCCAGGCCCACATCTGATTTCACATTCAAAACTTGATAAGACATCACTCCCGGGAGAGTGCGACTTATGCTTTTTGCCCCATGCATCACGGGGTCCACCTGCGGTGTCCAGGCCACGACCCGTGCCACCCACGGATCCGCGCTCAGTAAACGATGGGCGCCTGGGCGCAGGCGGGAGTCGGGCTCTGTGGGGCTGAGCAGCTGAGGGCGGCAGGAGCACGGCCACGCGGACAGGCGGACACTCAGGTGAAAGGTGGGGTGTGCGGGACAGGCCCCGTGTGTGGGAAAACTCGCTGCCGCAGAGCTCCCCCTCCCGCCCCGCACCCAGGACCAGGCATGCCTGGGGGTCACCCTGCAGGGCCTTTGATCCGTGACTTGCCCTGGTATGGGATCAACTCCAGGAAGAAGCCAGACACCCCCCCATCACCCATTACCGTCCTAGCACCCCTGGAGGGGCGGTGAGAGGGGGAGGGAGAAATCACGGCCTCCATCTTACGGAAAAGGGAACTGAGGCACAGAGGAGCCTGAGGCCCGCAGCTGGGCACGTCCCGCCTGCACCTCTGGGGAGGCGCGTCACCTGCTTCGAGTCCTTGCTCCTGTCTCTGTCCTTGGCCTTCTCCTTCTCTTTCTTAGGCAGCAACAAATTCGAACTAGCTGTTGTTGGGACTTTACTTTCTGAAACTGATTTTCCTACTGTTAATAAAGAAACCTGGGAAAACATAATGCAAATTTGCAACATTAAGAACAGACGCGAGTCCCCACGTTCCTCCCAGACGCTCAGATCCAAGGGGCGGGTCAGCGGTCCTGAGGCTCAGAGTGGCGGCCTCCCGTCCATTTGCCAGCTGCGGCCAGGCCGGTGAGCCGTGGGCAGAGGTGGCTGCAGCGTCCCTGGGGTGGGACGCTGGGAGGTCCTCCTCTGCACAGGGGGCGTCCCCTTCCGGACTCTGCACCCGCAGGGGCAGGGGGCGAGAGTGAGCGAACAGGGCTTTACAGTGAGTCTCCCGTCCCTAATCAAGAAGGCACCTGGGTCACATCCAGCGGACCCCCTTACAGAATCCTGGGTGGGGGCGGGAAGTCCTTCCCGTTCTTCCTGCTGCCAAGGGGCACAACTGGGGCCTGGGGGCAAAGTTGCCCTCAGAAACAAGTCCTGTCCTGACAGAGCTGCCCTGCAGGGGACACTGCCGCAGAAGGTTCCCCAGAGCAAGAGGCCACCAAGAGCTGCCAGGAAGGGGGCTATGAAGAGGTGACGGGAAGGGGGCAGTGAGGAAGCCATGCAGGGAAGGGGGGGAGAAAGAAGATTCTGGAAGCCCAGCAGCAGGGCTGCTGATGGTCAGGAAAACACAGGCTTCGGCCAACTGTCCTTTACACACAGCAGCCTGGGGGACCCTGGCGGGGTGGGTTTCAGAGGAGGGGCCGACTGGAGAAGCAGTGCTGACGGGAGTGAAGTGGACAGGGACACACGGTTGCCATGGAGAGACACTGTGCATGTCTCGGTCTTTACAGACTGTTTGGAAGCAACAAAACTTAGCCACAGTCTGGTCCCAGAAAAGCGGAGTCCCCCCCACCCCCCGGTGGCAGCGCGGCCCCACCTGCCAGATGCGCCTGAGGAACATGTAGGCCATGAGGCAGTAGTCCTGGTAGTTGGCGGCACTTGGGGACACCATCAGGGCCAGCAGGATGTAGGCACGGGCCAGCGCCTCTAACTGCCTCACGCTCCACAGCTTCTCCAAGGAGACTGTCCCCGCGTCCTCAGCGCCCGGAATCTCTGGGGCCGCCTGCACCTGCAAGGGCACGTGCTCTCCTGCAAGACAGGGTGCCGCGGCCGTGGGCGCCCCAGAAGTGACGTCCACAGCCTCGGCCGTTTCCTCTCTGCCCTTCTCCCAGGCCCTGGGGGTCAGGCGGCAGCCACCCGTTCAGTGCAGGACACTCGTCCCAGGAGCTGAGTCCTCTTTCGGAAGGTGTGCCCATCGGTGCAGGGGCTAGGGCGTCTCCCCAAGAAGGGAGACAACAGGCCGGACTTCTGGGTGCTGAGGCCACAGCCAGGCTTCGAAGAGAGACCCATCTCAGGCCCAGGGTGGGGGGTGGCTACAGTCATCTGTGGCTCTGGGGTAACTTTTGGGGTTGGGAGCGATGGACCCTCCCCTCCACGCGTCACCCAAGTTGGTCTGAGTTCACCCAGATGAGGGCGGGACATCAAGTGAACGAGTCCATGTGCCTCTAGTACACACAGGCGGAGGTGGCCCTTTTCCAGGGCCCTGAGTCTGCAGGCGAGGACGGGGGCCGCCTCAGTGCTGGGCAAGAGGCTGCTTGGAGCCAGGCTTGGGCCAGTGGTGACAGGGCCTGTCCGTGGGGGGCCATTCCCCCTTTTGGTGTGAGAGCACTCTCTTGCTGGAGGCAAGACCCAGAACAGGACCTGGGTGGCCACACTTCCTCCTCAGTGTGATGACAGTGAAGCTGCCCAGGCTCCCCCATCACCAACACCCTGCTCAGCAAACCCAACCTGTGAGCCCAAACCAAACACTTCTGAGGCCTCCACACACTGTCGTGGCCAAGCAGCTTTGGGGGTGGCCTGGGGCTGGCTCCAGGCCACGTCTGTGAGAATGTGCCTCCCCTTTATCACCAAAAGGCACACTCTCTGAACCAGAGTGGACAGCTGAAGGGACAGGAGCCCATCCCCACCTCACCTGCTGGCTCAGGTGTGTCCCTGGCAAGTTTCATCCCCAGCAGGATGTCGATTGCCCAGTTCAGGTGGAAGGTTACGTCTTCGATAGGGAACTGTTTGTAATACAGCCACTCGCTGAATTCCATGATGTAGTCGACTTTGTGCCACTCGCTCTCTGGTTTCTTTGAGATTAAACAGAAAAGGGGGTTAAGATACTGCCACCCTCATTCAGCATCCTGAGACTCGGTCTAGAACGGGAAGCAGTGATTTTTTTAATGTTTTTACTGATTTGAGAGAGAGGGAGAGAGAAACATCAATGATGACAGAATCATTGATCCCCTGCCTCCTGCACGCCTCCTACTGGGGATTGAGCCCACAACCCGGGCACGTGCCCTGACCAGGAATTGAACCACAATCTGCTGGATCCTAGGCCGATGCTCAACTGCTGAGCCACGCCGGCCGGGCTACCTTGCACACCTGCAAGGCCTGGATTGCGTTTTGATAGCAGGTCAACTCTCCATAGACGTTCTTTGAGTTCAAGGCCAGGCGGTGCCACATGTGTGCCAAGTAATCTTCACTCTCATCTTTAAATTTCTGTATTTCCATTGTAAAATTCTGGCCAAGTTTGGCCTTCACAATGACCATATGCTTGAAAATCAATCTAAAGAAAAGCAAAAGAGAAATTAATTCTCAAGTCAAATGGCAAAAATTTAAATATGTATAATTCACCCAGAACTAAGTATCTGTCCATTTTCCTACTTACAAAGATAAAACAAAACAGAACCTGAGTTACTTGGGATTTTGTGTCGTGATCTATTTTTAAAATTTATTTTTTAATTTATTATTTGTGTGTGTGGGCTGTGTTGTAAATCCCCGCCCTCCTTGTGTTGGGTCCTTCGTGGGGAAGTCATCAGGAATGGGAGAGTGGGGGGAGGCCCTGACGGGTGAGCTCTGAGGGCACGGGGGATGC